TATATATTGAGAGGGATTTTACTTTTATATAAATATAAAGATATAATAATATAATATAATTAATTTTGCACTATAATTTCTACCATTTGGTTTGTTTGGTTTCCAACCATGGTTATAGATTTCAAAGAGGGTCATCAAAAGAAAGACAACCCTATGAGACAAACCTCATTTGACAAAAAGACATTCAATCCTGAATCCACTTTTCTTATACACTTCATCTTATTCAAATCTTTCAACTCTTCACCAATGTGGGATATCTCAAAATCAACCACAATTCACCAACATTTCAATACTTAATCCTCATGATGCCACCTCAATACTCTTGGTTCTTCCTTTAATATATATATATATATATATATATATATATATATAGATAGATTTTATGTGTGTGTGTGTATATATATATGTATATTAATAGAGAAACGATCAAATACAAACCATTCAAATTTATACAAACTTTATAAACTAATTAAAACCAATAACATAAATCCATTTGTTTTTTTTTTTTTAATTTATAAAGGTATTATAATAATTTGAATTTATAATAGTTATGTTTGGTAATTTTTTTAATATTAATAGATAAATTTGGTAACAACATAATATTTATATAAATATGGATGATATATTGATTAACACAATATTAGCAAAGATCTAATTGAGGATTCCATTAAATTATTTGAAAAAAATCTCCACATTTTAAAAAATGTAGAATAGTTTTGTTTAAAAATATCGTCACTAATTTCCAATAAAACAGATTCAAACTGTTCAATGAAACATGGTAATTTTCAATGAAACAGATTCAAACTGTTCAATGAAACAGACCCAAACTGTTCAATGAAACATGGTAATTTCCAATGAAACAGACTCAAACTATGCTTCAATGAAATATGGTTATATATGATTGTATCAAGTTCATATGTATAACAACTGTAATAAAACAAGTATACGTTTATATGTATGTATAACAGTTTGTAATGAAACAGATTCATATGTATAACAACTGTAATGAAATAGGTTCATAAAACATGTTTTCCCCATTTTGCCCTTCCGTCTCTCCAATATGAATTCTTTTTTTTTTTTTTACTTTTCTTAATTAGAGTGTCAAATCCCTAAAATGGTACACCTTGCTTTGATACCATGTGATGATATGTGGAAACCCCAGATTGATCTACAAAAAGCTCAGGTTCCCAACGGATATTGAATAAAAATCGGTCCACGTCTAACCGAACGTAGGCCGCTAACACGATCCACTGGTCTGCACATTTACCATTTCATATGTTTGGCGACGGATACGATGTATTAGATTAAGAGGTTTTGAATCAAATTCAGGTCGGTCCAGGTTAATTTAATTTTACAGATGTTAAAGCATAAACCGGTTAACATATGCTATAATAACGTTATTGTTGCCCCTATGCCTAGAAGCTTGTACTTCCATACGATGGCGTAAAGATAAATTCACGCAGCAGGGAGAACATTTCACGTTGCGTGAGGTTTCGAGCAAGTGAAGTGCAGTAGTAGCGTTTGTTGCCTCGTCCTATGATGTAAACCGCAGCCGGGACAGCGGCATTAGCTCCTTTGGCAGCGACTGCTGACCGTATCCCGAAAACGTTCACCGGAAAACGACCACCGACCGGTTGGGTTCGAGCCATAGCTCCGTCCAGATCATCAGGAGCATTCTCAGGACCAGTAGCATTGACAGCATCAACAACAGCGGGGTCGGTGCAGCATTCGATCCTCAAACTGCAATCTTCGAAAGCACAAATGGTGGGATCGTCATGGAGAGTGAACCAAGCGTTCACAATATCCTTGTGCTTGTAATGAGAATGATGAAATGGGGCAATGAAGCCCCATAGACCATCGTGGTGGGTCGGGACAATGGTCGAGAAAAACGACCCACCACGATCCACTGCTTTCACGTCGATTGTGGCAAGCGGCACACCGATGGCTTCGAGATTGTCAATGAGGCGTTCGAATTGACCGTAGATGAAGTTAAAAGGTGCAGCACGACCATAGGTTCGACTCCTGTTTGCAGACGTGGAATAGACGATAACCATCGGCTCCGGACCATCCATAACACGAAGGGGTCCGATGCTACCAAGAACAGAAGCGATAAAAGCTGGAAATCTGTACCTGTTGCTACCCGGTGATCGGGGGTTCATCCGAGTGTTGCAAACGGTAGGATTGTAAAGCTCGAGGATGTGACGGAGACGGTTGTAAGTGACCGAAATCGCTGTGTCAACCATCATGTTAACATCGGCCATGATGGTATCGGTTATCGAGGTCTCGGAGCCACAATTGTAGCGGTTACAGAGTTCTGGGATGAACGGGAGAACTAGGTTAAGACGATCCTTCATGGCCGTTGCGAGATGCTCTAAGTCGATCTCAACAACAGTCGTGAGCCCATAAGAATGTATAGGCTGAACGCTTATGCGGCCTGATGCCACTAAATCAAGAAAAGGATCAGCTTTTTTGCTAGGTTTGGCTTTTTGGTTGTGCGAGTCCAGGTGATCTAACAGATCTCGGTTGCACCTGTTCAGAAGAAGGCGATTCACTTAATCCTAATCGACAAATTCAGATCAAGATCCAACTTTCAGAACAGAATCTACAAGTCATCTGCTCGGGATTTAAGGATTATTTCGTTTTTGGGATCGAAAAGTCGAATTGTTTACAAGTTTCACTACATATACAAGTCATGAAGACGGTATAAACCAAACCAAATAAACCCAATAAAGCCGTGTAGAGATATGGTCTAGGGAGCGTACATGTATGCTGACCTTTCCTCTTTCCCAAAAGGCAGAGAGTTTTCGTGAATACCCCCGCTTCGGAAAACAAAATAAAAAAGTCACGAAAACAGTATATATCCCTCCCCAACCATAGCCATTAGATGCACAAGAGTCGGATGTTTAAAAAAACCAATATAAGAAGATTTAGCTCAAATTACCAAATCCTATAGCCCGAAAGCTGCATCAATTCTATAGTGTTTTACATGAGACCCGAATGCATAAACTAGATGAAGGTAAAGAATCCATGCATTAAAGATTAAGCGAAAGTTGTAACATAAAGAATAGCGAGTCAACTCACCCGATTGACTCTTCAACTTGAGGTTCCGGCACCTCATTCTCTTCTGGGCCTAAGTCTGGATAATTTCGGTGGTTGAGAGAATGGAGCCAAACAGCAACAGCTCCTTCTTTATGCTCTGTTGCTGCAATGTGAGAATAAATATGCTTCAATTTGAATTCCTCAGCCTCCTCTGCATAAGCTTTCATCGAAACTTCTTCATGAGTGTCTTTCCATTTCTGGTTATATGATGTGAAAAAGCATTCGTCCAAATATAAACCGACTTCAGGAGCTGTAGGCACACTGATTCTAACATCCCTGTCATCATCATAGATAACAATAAGGTTAGAAAACAATTTAGGGGACTATTTCTATTGATCCTTTAACATTTTTGTTTTCTGGGCACAGCATGAGAAGGAATGAACATATGATCAAGGGTTCCATTTCTCGAGATGAAGTGAGACCCACGAGACAATGACACAGAATGAAGAATGATAGTCTATAAATGAATGGAACCTCTTTCTTTGAACATGCTAACCTGCATTTCTAGTTTCTATCTTTTTATTTTCTCTCTTTCTTCCCTCTTATACTTTTGTCAAACTTTAGGAACCAAATTCATAGCATTCCTAGTCCAGTCTACGCACCAAAAGCACCTTTAAGACGGTCTAGCATTGCTTCTGAATCTTGAAAGCAAAACAGATAACACATGAATTTTTCAGACATAACTAAAACGCACACAGCATTTTTGGTCCAAAAACTCGTTTTAGACACTAAATGCAGTGTCGAACTTGCCCGGTATCCCTTTTCCATTGAACAATCCTACTTACTGAATTTAAAGACTAGAAAACTAGCAAAAAGCTGAAGAGTTCTGGAATCAGTTCTCGGGATCCCAACATTCACCATATCAATTGAATTTGGCACACGATAAGGTTGCAGTTGTAAAGTTTCTAACATGAAAAATACAATGCAGAACCAGCCCTTAACCCTTTTCTTTTTAAACAATCATACTTTTTGAACTTAAAAACAAGTACCAAGTACAATTTACCCGAATCCTAACTTTCACCATATCATATAAACTTGACACATGAAAAGGTTGCACCTGTTAACTTTTTAACATGAAAAATATGATGCAAAACTAGCCCTAAACCCTTTTCTTTTTAGCAACAAAGTTTGAATTTTGGAAGTCATATGAACTCCAGAAGTGAAAAAAGGTTGCAGTTATAAAGTTTCTGATTAAGTACTACTAATTACTACCAGTTTTATTTTAAAGATTAGCTGAATTCTTATTGATTTTAAATCTTTCAATTGAAGACGTCTAGTTTTGTGAAGTTAACATGTAAATCTAACAATTCTGAACAAAAGTTGTGTATCTGCATATAAAGGTAATCAATGAAAGAACCTACTGTTGTAGAGCGGTTTCCATCAGCGATTCCGGAGCACAATTCCTCATGATCGCAACAGCAACACCAATCATCTTCCTTATCTGGTGAAGCATAAAGCTTTGTCCAACAACCTCACATTTGACGAATTCAATCCCGTCAACTGTGACAGTAGTGTTAGCGTGAAACGAGATAATGTAGCGATTAGCAGATGGGTCAGCCGCCTTTGTTCTTGTGGTGAAATTATGAAAATTGTGAGTTCCTTCATAATGTTTAAGAATCTTATTAAACCTCTCCTTCTCTTTGTCACCATAACGGAACACATTCTCTTTTACAATGTCATCACCTACTCCATTGCCAACACCATTTATATTACAACCCTCGTTTGAAGTTGATGAAGTCCCCAATGATTTGCACTCAACAATCACAGGTTTAGAGTTCACATTGTGCAAAGATGTTGGATTTTCCTGCTTACCATCAGAATCTGATAATGCACTTAAACCGTTTGACGAAATGCCTGACTGAATTTCAACTTCAGAACCTGTTATAGTTCCGGTTTCTGGTTTACCCATTGTATTGAGAACTTTCCGGCCTCTCTCAGAGCACTCTAAACACTTAACAAGCTCATTCTCAGACCCCAAACTAGCCAACACACTTTCTCTATCACGATGAGATGCAGGGTCAAGAGCAAAAACCGGTAACAAATAAACATACCTCCGGCGATCGCAGAACTTTTTTGCACTAAACGACGCCGTCACACGCTTATACCCGAAAATTCGAAACTGAGAAGGCAAGTTGTTGTTTAGGCGTTCCACGAAGCCAGGCGGGTCTACATAGAACTTCCCAGAAACCACCTGCCCGACAGCGCTAACTCCCTTATCGGTTCGGGCAGATCGAGCAAAATCGAAACGCTTTGGGTAACCGCGGTCAGTTTCAGGTACGGCGCCTGAGAAGTAAAGAGCTTCTTCGAGGTCTCCTTCGATGGTTTTCGCTCCAGGGTTCTTTTGCATGCCTTGGTAGCCTACTCCACAGTAGGCGAAGAGTATGGCTACTTTTCTTCGCTTGTATCTAGGCTTTTTCTCCGTGCTGACGCTGTTGGTAGTGCGGTCTTCGTCATCGGAAGTGGTGGTGGTGGTGGTGGTGGTGGTGGTGGTCGACATTTTGAGCTTTTTTGAATCGGGTTCGTCTCGCGGCGGCGGCGGCGGCGGCAGTGGTGGCGGCGGTGGCGGAGACGATGAGGGTGATAGAGAGTTTTGATCTTCCATTGCTATCGGTTGCAGTGAATGTGAGAGTCGATCAGTTCATTAGTGTGGATTTTCGAGGGTTTTGAGGATGAAGGTTCGCAAATTGTAACCGTAATAAACCCTAACGGTTGCACCATCGTACAATGAAATTTGCACACTATACCACCCACCAAGCACAACCAAAAGAATTATCGGTAATCTCGAACCAAACCAACCCGACTACTAATACGATGTTCGAGATCGGCTCGAAAAAATAATCCTAAGCTCAAATTCAACTCAATCTCGAATAACTTTTTCAAATTAGGGCTTGAGATTATATTATTTATGAACATATTAGCATGTTTGTCTGTATGCTCGAATGGTTCAGCTTGACTCGACTGGAAAAATTAATCGAGTTTTCGAACGAGACAAGTCGAAGATTGATGTTATGAAGCTCGATTCGTTAAGTTAAACGAGTTTTATTTTCTGTTCCAGATTAACTCGAATAGCTCGTTAAAAACTCGAATTGTTTACACCCATATACCCGACCTTGTTTGTGATTTTTATCTCGACAGGTATAGGGTTAAAAGTTCGAATTGTTTCCTCTCATGAGCTTTTCTTGTCGCCCTGCATTCCAACTCTTACAGTTTAGTTAGTCTGATAGCTATTAGGGGTGTTCAAAAACCCGATCAACCCAACCCAACGCGAAATAATCCAACCTGAAGCAACCCGATGTCTAACCAAATTGTAAAAGGTATTGAGTCGATATTGAGTTACTATTTTTTGAACTCAACCCAACTCGATGAACTCGATATCCTTTTATTTTTTGGATTTAATATGATTGTTGAATTTCTATTAATACATACATTAGACAATTACACAATCATGTATGCTTTTCATATACACATATTTTCAATCTATTCATATCTCTATATAACTCATTCAGTAACTATGAACACATATATGTAAATTCAGAAACTTAAGTGAATGTGATATACGTAAGAAATATGAATAAGTTGTATCAAAAGGTTGATGATGAAAAAGTAATTATGAGTAGAGAAATAACATATTCAAGGTTAGAAATATATTTTAATATACCAAAGTATCAACCCGACTAACCCAACCAACCCGTACGGGTTGGGTTGGGTTGCACTTTGGTTTGGGTTGGGTTGGGTTAAGATTTTTCCAAATGCCAAGCATTGGGTTGGGTTGTTCAAATGTCCTCAACCCGAACAACTCAACCCATGAACACCCCTAATAGCTATCATGTATAACTTGTCGGTTTTCTTTTAGAGAGACTTTCTTATCACCCAACACTGGGATGGTGATTTGCCCCGACCCGGTGGGGAACCTGGTTCACCCGACTCGAACGGAGACGGGGATTCCCCACTAAAACGGGTCCCAAGACCGGGGATCCCCAGTAGACTCAAATCGGGGCCGGGGATTCCTGTTAGAATTAAACTAAAGGATACTATTTATGGGGATTGATAGGGTTTTATCGGGTTTGACCGGGGATTGCTAGTGACGGGGGACGGGATGATAATCCCCAAACCCGCCAGGGACCGGGGCCGGAGATCACAAAACCCGCCCCATTCCCGCACTGTTGCCATACCTACCCAACACCTTATAGTAGTTATCCACTTTTGTCACCATGCTTTTAAGCCATGTGTGACATATTCCTCGATCTATCCCTCTTTTTGAAACATGGATCATAAGGGTTGTTTACCAACAATTATTGGAAATCTTGACGAAGAGGTCTATCGGAGTAAAAGTTGACAGAAATATAAAATAAGAAAAAGTCTAAAAAACTCAATGAATTTTATTGTTTGAAATGATTAAGTCTTTGGACAATTTTTTGTAACAAATAAGTCTTTGGACATTACAAAACCTATTAAATAACTCATTGTACTTTCTAAAACCTGTTATATACATTCTTATGACCTATACAACTGGTTAATGTGGTAAAATAATAGAAAAAGTCTGAAAAAACCAAACAGACTTTCATATTATTGAATGTTTAAGTCCATAAACATATTTTTGAACTAAAATAATCTATAAAATGAAACAAATATACCAAAAAAGTATATTTTTTTAATTAAAAATAAAATATATTTTATCATTGATTTTTCAAAATTAAAAATAAATTAAAAAAGAATTTAAAAAAAATTACTGAGTAAATTTATCTTAATTAAAAATATAATATATTCCGTATGTGATTTTTCAACTTTTAAAAATTCAAAAAAAGATTTAAAAATGATTACTGATGAAATTTACTTTACTTAAATATAAAATATATTTCGTTGATGATTTTTCAAATTAAAAAAAATAGAAGATAATTTGATTAGATTACTCACGGATTAACGATAAAATTTAATTAAATACATAATTAATTAAAATTCATCATCAATCCGTTGGTGAAATGATACCACCGACAAGATTTAAGCACGATCTTTCACACTTATTAACATGTCACTGTGTTAGAACGTCTAACGGTAGTCAAGTTAGTCATCCATGCATATATACCAATGAACACTAGCGACTAAATTTAATTAATTATATATTTAGTTAAATTTCATCATTAATTCATCAATAATTTAATCAAATTATTTTTTATTTTTTTAATATGAAAAATCACCAACGAAATATATTTTATTTTTAATTAAAATAAATTTCATCAGTAATTCCTTTTATTTTCTATATTTTTTTTAATTTGAGAAAATCATATACATAATATATTTTATTTTTAATTAAAATAAATTTAATTAGGAATCATTCTTAAATCCCTTTTTATTTTTTTAAGTTTGGAAAATTACTGACATAATATTTTCTATTTTTAATTAAAATAAATTTCATCAATAATCTTTTTTAAACGTAAGTATTTTTTGGTATATTTTTTTCGTTTTATAGATGTAAGTACTTTTTTCAGTCTTTTTCCATCATTTTACTACATTAACTAGTTTTATATGTCATAAATGATGTATATAACAGGTTTTAGAAAGTCCAATAAGTTATTTAACATGATTTGAAATATCCAATAACTTATTTGTTCCGAAAAAAGTTAGTTTTATAGGTCATAAAAAGTGTACTTATCTTATCTATGAGCATGACAAAACCAAGAATCTTACCCGATAAAAAACATACCAAGAACCGCGAATCTTACCATGTAAGTGGGGGAGAAGGCTCCTACCAAGTAAACACCTACCATGTAAAAGATGTTTTTCAACAATCTATTTTGATGACCGAAACATGTTACAGATAAGATAAATGAAAATGGTACCTCTTGATCGTAAACACTTATCTAGTAAGCATTTGATACTAAACGGCTTCGAAAAGAGTAAACAAACAAAGCACCGATACAATAATCGCTTCATTTTAAGATGAAAATCATGCCTTCCCACTTGATTCATGCTTTGCAACAAACCTCATTTCTAGAAGAAAAACTATAGAAATCTCTATACCAACTCATGATCCACCCCTTTTACTATTCTTCATACATATTAAAGTTATGGTGGCACCGTTGACTCTCGTGAATGGTGACCAGCTCTGCCTTTTTAATACGTTGATCTTACATTTCGAAAGTCACCCGCTAATGCTCCAACCTCTTGTTGACCTTTACGTTCGAACCTGCTATCAGCACAATGTAGTTAGCGAATAACATATACCATCAGACACTATCTTCGATTCTTCAGCAGATCTCATCCACAATCACACAAAATGGAATACACTTTACGTTAATCCTTGCCTCATTGATGTAGCCCTGTCTTCGGTAATTCATTTCTTAAATTTAGAATTCTTAAACAAAAAATTAGTTTTAAATTTAAAATTTTGATATAATATAACAAAAACTCATATGATACAAACAACTCAACCTAAGGGTGTGTTTAGTGTCAAGACATACAGAACATAACATGACATGATTGGATAGAACAACTGTTCAACGTTTGGTAAGATAGAACATGATAGAATAGAACAAGTAAAATGACCAATTTACTCCTGATGAGTTGTTTATTTTAATTAATTTATTAAATTATAATAGAATAACTATTTTTATAACAAAATATATCATTTGAAGTTTTCGTCAAAACAATTAAAATGATACCAAATAAAAAGTTTATGTAGTTTTCTATTTTTATTTTTATCTCTTTTCTACATTATTTTTTATTATTAATATATAACAAATTACATAAATTAATAAAAATATAGAAACCGTATAAAAATAATATTTTAAGGACAGTAAAATGAAAATTTAAGAAACATAAAATAAAATTTAAAGAATGAATAAAATGTAAAAAAAGAGACATATTTGATGTTTTAGAAGAAAATTAAATTTTATTATAAGGTTATCTTAATAAAATATAAGTTTGTTCCACCTTGTTCCATGAGGTAGGGGTGGAATAGGCATGTTTCACTATGTTTCTGTCTGTTTCACATAAAATTCATTTCAAACATGGGACAGGGATCCCTGTCCTGTTCTATCATGTCCTTGTCCAGTGTACTAAACGCTCCGTAAGCAATGAACCTTTCCATACCAATGACACACAACCCTTATTATTATTTTTGATTGAAAATTTTCTTAGACTTTAACCAGTAATTATCAAAATTATACCTTTTTATATCTTGACCCTCGTATATTTTACAGTACGATTTATTTTTATTATTTATATTCTTTTTATTTGATTTAGTGTAAACAACACTAACTGAAATATAAAGTGACATCTTTATCTATTTTAAATTGTTTACAAAAGTGAGGTTGTCTCGATTACCGTTTTCCTTTGAAATTATCTATACTATATTATAAAACATTTGATAAAAACTCTTAAAAACTATTTTTTATGTATAAAGTATTGTTTATTGATGCATATTACTTAAAATTTAAGATTACAAATAAATTGTGTGCAAGTACAACTTATTAAAGCTCTATGTTTGAATTCGTGTAACAAACTGCAGATAAACGTAATCAAATACATGATAAATATCTCATTTTTAAATGTAAATTTGAAATATAATTAGGATAATCATTGAGTTCCAACAGAATACTTAATTATTATCTTTATAAAAAATATTATTAAATTAAAAAATAAATTACTTTGTTATTAAACATAAATTAAATTATAATAAAAAGCTGAATTAAAAAAGTTACACAAAAAAACGAGAACTTTTAAATAGTTAATTCGATACTTATAAATAACGATATATTTTTATTTTATTCAAAATAAAAAGATTGTCAGTTTCTCAAAATCACATAAAACCGTATTATTCGACATAGACAGAATAAAATGAAACATTAAAATCGAGATGTATCTTACTGTATTACACGAGTGCCCTTCTAGTATGAAATAATTATCAAACTTCCATTTAATAACTTTAAATTTATATTTCAAAATAAAAACATTGTCGCTTTCTCAAAACCACATAATATGTATTATATCGACATAGACTATATAAAATGAAACATTAAAATCGAAATGTATGTCGCTACTTTACATGAGTACTCTCCTTATATGAAATAATTATCAAACTTTCATTCAATATAAATTAAAAAAAATCAAAAAAATTTATGGTTACAGTTTAAGCCCAAATCCACCAAACAAACCCAATCCACAATCCACTACCCGGTTTTATGTTACCAAGACAGAAAACCGGTGAGCTAATGAAAAACCGGCTACGCCTTTCATTTACCGAACTACCCCTCATCTCTGACTCAGAAAACAAAGCATATTCTATTATTCTTCCATCTTTAACAAGGGCATTTTAGTCTTTTCATGCAGTCTGTGATCCACAGATTTGATATAAATAAGCCACTCTTATCTGTGTTCGGTCTTGGACTTTACCTAACCCCATCGGAGATTTCAATTTCTCTTTCTTTTTCTCCAAGTCTGTGTTTTCTGATCGGAAATGGGCCGGAAGTTTTTCGTCGGCGGTAACTGGAAATGCGTAAGTCTCTGATATCAGTTCTTGTAGTAAATCAAGTACATGAACAATCTGAAGATTTGATCATGTATTTTTGTTTATCTTTTTTGATTTGAGCAGATTTGTGTTTGATGATTCTTGTTTAACTGTGTAGTATAGCATTTAGTAATCGGAAGTTTTATTGTTGTAAGTCAAGCATATGAACAATCTGAAGATTTGATTGTGTTTTTTTTTTGCTGATCGGGTTTGATTGAAGCAAGATTCGTTATTGATGAACTCTTTTGACTGTGTAGTATACGATTTAGTAAACGTAAGTTTTTATTTTTGCTGTATCGACGAATCTGTTTTTAGAGTTAAACAAGTGTACTACTGGTAGTCGCATCGACGATCGATCGAGTGGATCTTTGATACGCACATTTTGAATTCGAAATTGGATTGTGAAAATGATATCTGGAAGGATCGATTAGAGGAAAATCACAGGATACGCTGAAATTAGTATTGATTTCTTATCTACTGTGTATTCTTTAAATTTGCAAAATTATTAGCTAAACAGATGAAGTTATCAAATGATGTCATCGGCGATGCAGTGGGTTTGTAAATGGAACTAACTTTGATTTTGACTATGAATTTAAAAGTGAGCAATTTGATTCGTCAAAGGTGTTGATCTAATTTCTGTAACATAAAGAAAATATTTTGTGAAAGTACCGTACCAGTTAGTTTGACCCTTGAATTTAATGGCGGTATAAATCATGGTGTTTCTCTTTTTTCCGGTTTAGCTTATACTTTGTTAAGGTAGGATGTGTGATGTGATTGATATTGGAACCTAATTTTTGCTGATTTGATTATTCATGGTAGAATGGAACCTCCGAGGATGTGAAAAAGATCGTGGCAACGCTTAATGCTGGTCAACTGCCATCCACTGACGTTGTTGGTAAGTAGCTATGCAGTTGTAGGTAACCATTGTCATAGAAGTCGTTTAGTGTCATGTATTCATGGCCATCCTTGATCTACATATGCTTCAATGTGATGGTAGTAAGTTGTGTAGGCTAAGAGAATCTGGTCAATTTTTTGTGGAATAACATGTTATTAGAAAGGTCCTGTTGTGATCATGTTAATTATGAGTCAATGATATCTGCTTCATGTTCTTACTTCAAAGTGTCAAGACAGGGATCATGGATCGATAATTAGTGACATCATTTATCAAGTTTTCTCTATTTTTAAGTATACAACTTATGTGGCTACTGACCTACTGTTATAGGTTCCTCTATGATTTCTTGTTAGGTATAACATTTTTGATTTCTCAACTCTCAACAATCTGTTATTCTTGCAGAGGTAGTGGTGAGCCCTCCATTTGTGTTTCTTACCTCTGTTAAGAGTGAATTGAGGCCTGAAATCCAAGTTGCGGCCCAAAATTGTTGGGTCAAGAAAGGTGGTGCATTCACCGGTGAAGTTAGGTATGATCCAGCGTATCATTTACATTTACCATCCATCTTTGACTGAAAGTATAACAAATTCTTTTATAAACTAGTTATGATGGCAACTGGATTCCAACTCAATTTCATTTAACAAAATGAAATACTGCTATAGTCTTTGAAACTATTTTGTAAATGCATACATTCATTTCTTTGTCTGATTATGGATCATGCACGTGGGCTATTCTTTGTTATCTTTCTCATTAAATTTATATTCCGACTTACTTTTCCTGGTTATGGTTCCTTCCATTTTTAAATTACAATTGCATGATCATGATTGTCTTCTTATATATTTCACTTGTGGGTTGTATTTACATTGGTGTAAACATTTCCCTTCCTTTAATTGTCATTTTGAGTTTCACTTTATTGAAGTTGGTTTTGTGTGTGTAGTGCTGAGATGCTCGCCAATTTGTGCATCCCTTGGGTCATCCTAGGTCATTCTGAAAGGAGAGCCTTATTAAATGAAACAAATGAGGTACACATTTCCTTGAAAATATTTAAATCCTTCTATGCAGATCAACTCACAAATTTTAATCAGCCTATGCATCTCGACTCAGCTTTTGTTGTTTCCTATTCATTTAGTTTGTTGGAGACAAAGTTGCATATGCACTTTCTCAAGGTCTAAAGGTGATTGCTTGTGTTGGGGAGACTCTTGAGCAACGAGAAGCTGGAACCACCATGGAAGTTGTTGCTGCACAAACCAAGGCAATTGCTGGTATTGATTTCAAAACTAAAATTTCTGCTAACTTTCGTCGTTTTTTACTTGTGTGTGCTGAGCTTGATATGATTAGTAACTTCCCCCACCTTTAGGTTTACAGTTCTTGTTTATAAACATACCCCAACTAGTACTTTGTAGTTTTTACTTCTGCTTAACAAGCAAGGCTATCTTTAATATGATACCTATAATGTTTATAATATTAGTAATTATTTTGTTGCAGATAAGATCTCAAGTTGGGATAATGTTGTTTTGGCTTATGAGCCAGTTTGGGCTATTGGAACTGGAAAGGTTGCATCTCCAGCTCAGGCTCAAGAAGTAAGCAAACCCTAAACTAGTTTGTTTGCCCTGATTTAATGACATGCTTCCTTTTTCCTAAACTTGTTCTTCGTGTAGCATAACATAATCATCTTACATCAATCCGTGTGTCTTCTTATGAATAATTTGTTATAAATTACGTTTCTGAACTTTCACGTAACAGGTACACGCAGGACTGAGGAAATGGTTTCAGGAAAACATCAGCGCAGATGTTGCTGCTACAACCAGGATTATATATGGAGGTATATTTATACTTATCTCATATGGTGATACTGTGTTCTTTTTGACATTCATATGAGGCTACTTTTCACTACTATCTTCATCTTAACAATACCATAACCTATTTAAGCCATAAATGGCAAACTTCAGTTATGCCGGTTGGCCATTTCGATGAACGTCTGTTTACCTGAAACTTGGAAGAGACCAAAAACAGTTTTGTATCAGAAAATGAAAGTGTTATTCGAGAATCTTATTTCTGTTGTTGCATAATGCAGGATCCGTGAGTGGTTCGAATTGCAAGGAATTGGCAGGGCAAACAGATGTTGATGGTTTCTTAGTTGGTGGAGCATCCCTCAAGGTAACTGGGCTTCTCATTCTTCTTACTCATCACCCCCCCATAGACTCTCAACAATTTGATTCTACACGCATGCTAGTCAATATCTAGAAAATTGCTAAATTTGGAAAGTATAAATGATGGATTGCTTTTCAAATTAAAGTAAATATCAGGGATCCTTTGGTGTTCTTTTTTTTTTTTTTTTCCCTTTTTGCTTGCACAACTGTTATATCCTTTGTGGTAGAGGACAATTTTGCCTATCCCGGACCTTGTTTTCAAGTGGGATATACTGGGTTGGTTTGATTTGTCATGGATTGAAATTAGGGGCCGTTTACCTAAACATTTACCCGGTAAGCACTTATCGGTAAAATTCAACATTATCGCTTACTGGGTAAGATTTTATTCACTAAAACGTATCGTATGCAACAATTTATCCCGGATAAGTGCTAACTATGGTAAGAGTCATCGTCCTCACTTACCAGGTAAGACACTCGATTCTTGCCTTCGCTCTTATCGAATAAGATTCTTAGTCCTTGCCATATTCATCCGGTAAAGTAAAGTGACTTGGTAAGCGCTTACCCGGATAAGCGTTTTTGTAAACGGCACCATAGTATCAACAAATGATCCTCCATCCCTTCATGAAGATTGGGAAAGTTTCCGTGTTATAGTTACATATTTGTTCATTAGCATTATCATCATTAGGAACAAGTGATTGATGTCATTTATTTTGTATTTCTCTAGGGTGTTTTGGTAATTTTATCGAATTAAACATAACATGTTTCAAAAGAAAGGAAGTGGTTAATGTTTTTTCGTGTTCGTTATTTTGTTGTTGTTGTAGCCGGAATTCATTGACATCATCAAGGCTGCTGAAGTGAAGAAGGCTTAAGTTTTTGTATGTTTTAGCGAGGTCGTCCGCTAGCGTTTTTTTAAAATTGTATTTCATGTATTAAATAAGCATGACAAATCTTGGTGATCTAAATGCTACAAGGTGATACCCTTGTTTTTTTTTGGTCAATAACTAAGCACTTGTATTTTTGTGAAAAGCATGATGAACACCCACAAGTGGGTATGATTGAGTTGTTCTTTGGCAATTGCTGAATGGTCGGGTGTAAAATGATTAAGAGACTCTTATGATATAGTGCAAAATGAAATATAATTGTTTGGTAATTGTGTATAATAAAATTAGGGCTCTTAATGGTTAAGGGATATCCATAATACAAAATCATTCAGAGGGTTTTAGAACCATTAAGAGGCAGACTTTTTTTTTTGTCAAACAAGATTCATCTCTTAACGATTCAGATGTTCTTTCTTAATGGAACGATTCAGATGTTGTCTCTGATTCTTATATGCATTTTTGTGGATGAGATGGAAGAAGCTAGAAGTAGTAAAGGATCATATGATGGTTTCTTGAGAATTCATTTTTGTGGATGAGATGGAAGAAGCTAGAAGTACTCAAAGGATCATATGATGGTTTCTTGAGAATTTTATTTGCTCCTTCTAGAAGCTCTTTGTAAAATGCTACTTTGAGAAACTTTAGCACTTTAGGTGTTGTTTGTTTACTTTTTAATAGTTTTATTAAGAGGTCATATCTGAATCGTTAAGAGGTAAATTTTGTTTGACAAAAAGGTCTTTATCTTAATGGTTCTAAAACCCTTTGAATGATTTTGTATGCTGAGCCTCCCATTAATCATTCAAGATCCTAATTTCATTGTAAACAATTATATTTCATTTTACACTATATCATGCATGAGAGTGTCTTAATCATTCTGACTATTTAATCATTTTGTACCAAATCATTCAACAATTATCAAACAACTTAGGCTAAAGATGGCATGTATAAAGTTTGAACATGAAAGTTCGAGTGATATGTATGTGTTCATAGGTTAAGATATAATAGCTCTTCACCGTTGTTAAAACTTGACCAAAACAAATAGATTATCTATTATTATTACTAGAAGGGTATCTTGATTTTAATATTTTATTTTATTTTTTATCTCAACCGATGTTATAGTATGATGTGATTTTGAAAAGACGATACTGTTTTTATTTTTGAATAAAATATAAATTTGAAGATATCATAAAAATTTGATAAAAATATATCGATATTAGTATCAAATTAACTATTTAAAATTCTTATTTTTTGTGTAATTTTTTAATTTAATTTTTTTTATAATTTAATTTAGGTTCAATAACGAAGTAATTTATATTTGATTTAATAATATAATTTTCTTGTAAAGATAATAATTAATTATTTTGTTAGAACTAGATAATTATCTTAATTATATTTTAGATTTTTTATATTTTAAAATGAGATGTTTATCCTCTAATTGGTTAAAATTATCCGCAGTTAGTTACGTGAATTCAAACATAGAGCTTTAATAAGTTGTACTTATGCATAATTTACTTGTAATATTGAATTTTAAGTAATATGCATCAATATACAGTATTTCATACATAAAAATGGTTTTTAAGAGTTTTTGTCAAATGCTTTATAATATAGCCTAGATTATCTTTCAAAATAGAGTTAACAGTAAAAATCATTAAAATGGATCAAACCATAAGGGTTTTAGCGTACATGCAACGTAGGCAAGGAGGGATGTGGCTCCGATCCATGTACTAATCTACATGATTGTGATCATTCAGAGAGCGTATTAAACGCTTGAAGCAGATTCGAGGGCTGGTCGTTAGACAATTGTGAAGCAGATTGTGATCTTCGTTGAGGCTTGTATTCGCCGCTATGCATTTCAGACCTTGGATATAGTAGGTTAGTTTGGTTTGATAAATGTTTTACAAATTAAAATGTTCACAATTTAAAATGCTGCTACGACATACAAATTGAAAGAGGCAAAGGGGCAATTTAAAATATCATTCGTTCAAGATATCCATTTTGACATCTGTTACATCAAGCTGTAAGATTTCAGCTCTACATCCAAGAATCGACCCAATGCTGCAACATATACACCAACAAAAAACAGTGTTAATCAAACATTTATGATGTTCACATCAATTGTTGCAACTTTCATGGGACACTCAAATCCTACTTTCATATATATATATATATATATATATATATATGTATATATACACATACATACATACATAGAGAGGGAGAGAAAATCCAGTTGCAAACTGGGGGACAAACAAGAGCTCACGATGTCCTCATTTGTGCTCATTCATTATTCACAATTGAAATTAAGTTTGCAACTGAACTTGCCCCTATACATACATATATATATATATATATACATATATATATATATATATACATATATATATATATACATATATATATATATATACATATATATATATATATACATNTATATATATACATATATATATATATACATATATATATATATATACATATATATATATATATACATATATATATATATATATATATAGGATTGGGTTTCGGTGAGAAGGAGAGTTAAGGTAAAAAGCGTAATAAGGGATCTCCACCCTTGGATGCACATTAGGATGAGATGGACCAGATCAATCCCCATATCAAGTGTGATTCATGGTGAGTTTGAGATTAAAGGTGATCAAGGGTCCAAATCTCTCTAACGCTTCTCACCTTGACTCTCTTTCTCACACGATTCTTCACCTATATATATATATATAGAGAGAGAGAGAGGGGGGGGGGGCAAGGTCAAACGCCAAGGCGGTCAAATTGTGGGAAGTTGAGAAGTTTCAAGATCACGTGTTAATACAAAGGTAAAATCACATCTGATACAACATACCCAAAAGGATATAAGCGACTTGGTCAACGCGACCAAGGGTCGCAGGAGAGGCCGCCCGCTCTATGGCGGTCAATTCAACTTGTTTACATCACATGTGCTTGGAACTTCTTACCATTCTAGCAACTTGACTGCCTTCTAGTTTGATCCCGTCTCTCTCTCTCTCTCTCTCTCTCTCTATATATATATATATATATATTGGGCTCGTTTGCTTTGGTTTAGTTTGTATGAACGCATAATGTCACAGAATATAAGAAATAAAAAATTCCTCATTTACGACATGAAATTAAATAGTTAAGATAACAATTTCCGTACCTAGGATGGGTACGTCCGAGATCTCCATGAACAAATTCCTTGATGTAAGTTCCAGCCTGTCGATAAAAAAATCAACAATTAACAGTGTACAATGACACAACTTATAAAAAGATCAAGTAGCCCTTCTTCTAACCACTGGTGAACGTCCATCAACCGTACAGATAGCTACAAGCATTTCATATCTCATATTAAGATCAGGGTTCCAACAAGTCACTACTTACGTATAAGAGCACATAGCGAAGCTATAAATACTTATAAGGAGCGAGAATCATAGTATGTTTGTAATAATTTCATGGGAAACTCACAAACATGAATAGAAAAAAGAAGGTTAAATGTTACATATAATCGACTGTTGATTGATAGGTACAACAAACAAGATTTTAAACTAAAAAGCATGATACGTAATGAAGATATTACAATTCCTCACGTAAATTGTCGAGGTGGAAACAATAAATTTAAAGTATCACTTCCCTCGTAATAGAATAAACGAATAAATAGCCAACCGTAGGACTTATCTTATAGATGCATAAGTTTTGAGTATAGTCCCAAACAGCAATGGAAGTCTTTACCCCTCTATTTTCATTTTTCCTTCAATACCAAATCATGCGTTTGGTCAACCTATTCGAGTTAAAACAGTGACACGAACTTGCTAATCATGTTTTATTGCAGTGAGGGTTATGGATTCTAGGATTAGTGAAAATTTATAAAATTCGTTTGATTGACGTATTTAAATTCAACTAATCTCGACGCTAAAACAATTCTTAGTTGCATCTTATTAGCATACTAATGTCGACGCTAAAACAATTCTTAGTTGCATTTTATTAGCATACTTCTTATGTTTGGCAATTTGTTTGTTTCTTCTAATTCGAGTCAAGATTTTTGACAATTTACTCGAACTGTAATCTTCCCTTTCTATATCATGTTTATTGCGTTAAAATATGCATTTATTTCATTTGCATGCATCATGCTTCTACATAGCCAACCCACATATCACTAGTCTATTATTTCTGTTCAAAGAAAGTTGATCAATGAATCTAACCTGGGTGCATAGATGAAGTAGAAAATATTGAGAATTCCCAGCAATTTCCTCAATTTTCATCCTAAAATGAAAGGTATTCACAATTAGAAGTTAATCTCATACATATTATCAATAACGAGTTGTAAACGCATCAAAATAAGCAAATAACAAGAACGATAAAACTAATAAACTTTTTTAATGTGTACCAATGAATAATCTTTTCACGCTCTAAAGGACTTCGACGGTGTAGAACCCTTACTGGCGTTCTCTGCAAGACTTTCTGCCAAAGCCAAGAGATTAGAAAAAACGCAACAAAGATGATGGAGGGTATGCTGAAAGCTGGAGCCAGTGAATAATTTACAAAGAGGTGAGTGCCCTGGAGCTCGGCTTCATAATTTCTTTTGGGTTTCACCTCTTCTTAAAAGGGTAAAACAAGTACAGAATTCTTCAACCACGTTGAAACTATGTTAATATATTCTATTTTGCCAAGAAAAAGGATAAAACAAGTAGATCATTATTTCAGATGGAGTGTGTATAAAATGAAAGATGCTCATACAAACCACTTACCAAGTCCTTAAACGAGGACACGGCTTGCAGATCATCCTCCTTAATAGGGCGAGATATCCATACCAAAGCAGCATATTCTTTCTGATTACAAAACATTGACAGGAAAGCTTAGGTTGGCTAGAAGCAAAGCTACCTGATGGCTGCAAAGATATATAAGGGTCAGGTCAGGGGAAAACCGCAAGAAAATCAAAAACTGAGGAATACCCTGGTAACCGTTCATTTGGACAATATGCACATGTGCATATTGTCCAGATGAATGGTTGTCATGGTGTTCCACAGTTTTTCCTTTTTTTGGGTTTTTCCTCTGAAGCTCCCTCTATGTGTGTGTGTGTGTATAATATATACCTGTTTTTCTGCTTCTCCTTCACGCATTAAGCTCCAACCTTGAATCCCCAAAACCTTGAGATGTTTTACTCTAACCTAGGTGCAGAATGTGTTCAGTACATGCAACTCTTGAATGACTAAGAAAACAATCAGCCAACATATGTGTCGAGATTTAGCCTAACTCACCAGGTTACTTTCCAGACTGTTTATTTTCTTTTCCATTTCTTTGATGGACATCTCAGAAGGGATATTTCGCGCATTTTGTATTTCAATCAAAAAAGGCCTCCCTGAACCCAACATCCTGACCTGAAAAAGTACAACTTTCATGATCAGAGAACTGTTTATTAGACAACAAAAGTCTATTTACAAGAGTAAGGGCTCTATACATCTATATCCTCTCTCCCTGCAGCATGGAACTTGTAGCCATCACCGTTACACATGGGAAGGATGTTGCCACCGATAAGTTCCTACAAAACCAACCAGTTTTCAGAATTTAAAATATATTAATATTGTGACACTTGCCAAAAAAGTGAAAACTTAAGGCAGACCTCAACAGATGCCTCTCCCTTCCTTTCATCATCAATTATCCAACGGGTCTGACTCACGTTCCGTGAGAACTGCAGAAGAAACAGGAGCAAATTTGTTAATAACATAAAGTATTATTAGATTATTTCAATAATAATTAAACATTAAATAAGTCAATACCAACATTTACTTGATATGCTAGATATGCTTGTAAATTGATGACAAGGAAATTTATAAAGTAGATCAATTTTCCTCAGTATAAAGGAAAAGAACTACTGGTACTCGGGTTGATTCTAAACATCAGTTTTGGAAATTTTGTGAATGACACTGTTGATTAATTTGTGAGCTCTTGAGGGATCATTATAAATACAGTTTTTGTGGTGTACTATTAGACAAGGTTTTAAAAAGCGGAATTGGGACTCGAGGCGTTTTCCTTTTTACGCCTCAGGGAGGGCCGAGGCGCAAGCCTTGAGGCGTAAAATAAATAAAATTCATAAATATTAATAGTAAGCAAAACATAATTCCATACCAGATTTTAAACGTCATAGATTCATAAAATACTAGTTATATGTCTAAAAATGTATCAATCTACAACTTATAGCTCCCCATAGCATGATCAAGTTGTATAGCTCCACAATTTTATCCATAATCACTATCACTTTCATCCTTTAAATCCATATAAACAGAAAACTGAAAATAATATATAAGACAGAAAATAAAAATAATACAGAAAAACCAAAAATATACAAAAAAAATTAGGTAACACATTATCATATAGAAAATACATTATACATGACATAAAACATATATACTTGACTGAAATATATATAAAATATAATATAATACATTATACGCAAAACTAAAAAGAACTTTTACTTTTTGGGTTGGCCTTTGAGATGAATATCTTCTTGAGAGAGGAAAAACTAAGAAATGGAGAAGAAAAAATGTTGTTTGCCTCAAGGCACCGCCTCACCAATTGAGGCTTAAGCCTTGTCTAGGGACCATGAGGCGCCGCCTCACCCTCACAAGCGGTTTTGGACCGCCTCGTCTCGAGGCGCGCCTCAAACAGTTTTGAAAACCATGCTATAAGAATTCAGAAGATACAATATTGCGCCAATGCCAATATCATCTCGCAGGGGTGTTTGAGACTATAATCTAGCCCAAGTCCAACATCATTGCCTCTCAATTACAGTTCACCTATTTTATCAGATATAGGGATACAAGTCTAAGAATATTACCAAAAGTACATCTTATATTTAGATTACAATTGTTACCTTCTCAGAAGAGAGAAATTTTGGTGGGCCACTTTTTGTAACCATATTTTTTTGTAACCATATTTTTAGGAAGCTCTTGTTACGAAATAATACAAGCTTGCAGCTATATTTCTCCGTCAAAATTCAACATGTTCCATATAGAAGTAACTAACAACTATAATTACAATGAAAGAATACTTAACGGAAAAAATGAAATAAGTATATCTGATGGCCTATATTACATCACTCACATAGTACTAATGTATTAACTTGATTGACGTGACATCAATATGAAGGATCTTGAAAATAAGCATGACATGTTAAAACAAGGGTTTCACATATTCCCAATTTACTATAAACTCGTTAGTTTGTAGTAGAGTTGCATATAAAAAGGCTTACAAACCATACAATAGATCTACATGTAATCAAATTTAGAATGAAAAGTATCCTAACAATAAGATGAATTCCTATTATTAATTCATTGAAGTCCAAACTTGAACTCATGATCCAAGTCTAACAAAGTCAAAACCTATAACACCACGGTTACATTACTTACCGACCATTTTACCGTTTAATCTCCAAAAACATAATCAAATTTTAAACCATTATATAGGTTATAAAACCCGAGCAAGTACTTTATGTTAAAGTTAAAAATACCTTCAGATATCGACCACCAATGTAGATAGGCGCCCTAGAACAAAGCAGAGTCATGCGACAAGGTTGACCAACCTAAGAGGGAAGAGAATAACACACAATAACGGTCAAATGGCCAAGGGTAGATAAAACGAAGGGGTCTCAAATTCAACAATACAACTCGACCTAATGCTTCACGAGGCATTACATTACCTTTCTCAGTTGGCAACTAAAGTCTGAAACATCACCACTTTGCGTTGTCCCATTACTACATTTAATGAGTCCATTCCCTTCACTGCTATGAAAACTAGAAACCTCTGCACCTGCAGTAACAATTAAGGAAGTCCCAATAACGCAGATAAGAGAAACTGAGAAAAAGAAAAGGGAAAACAACGAGCAAATATTAGCAAATAATTGTCAGTGTTGACATTATATTAGTAACATTTAGAGGATGCAACAAACCAAACCAAACCAAACAAACCCAGTATATCCTGCTCAAAATCAGGGTCTGGGAGGGTGAGGTGCAACTTGATTTACACCAAAAAGATGAAATTCAGCATACATGTAACAGATACTTAATTTCAACTCTTTAAACATTTGTCCGGAAATGTTGATGAAGGCTGAAAATGGAACCTCTTAAAAAAAAATAGAGAGGTATGCATGGGTCCGTCTATGTGACTTTAGACCAGACAAGGGCACAACATTGTCTACCAGCATGTGACTCCTTGGTTGCATTATATGAGGAGTTGCATCAAAAGTATTAGCAGAACATATGAAGGGACACCAAAACCAACTTAGCAAATATAGTTAAATTTGTAAATTTTGTTAGAAATAAAGTGAACTTCCTAAGGGCTCCATCATGAGTAAAAAGTACCCTCGCCAGGTTATTATATAGATAGATTCTTCCATGCACTCATATCTAGTGCCAGTTCCTGCAACACCATCCACTCACTCTTTTGGTACAAGTCACCTCTTCTAACTTGTGCATTCAAAGGTCTACATACTACATTGGAGATGACCAAACCATCTTAAAAAATGCCACCTCAACTTCTCTTCAACATTGCAACCCAACCTTCTCATATAAATTATATCATCAATTCATCAATATCAAATCCTATGTCTTGTTATGTGACAATGCATATACCTTAGCGTTCACATTTCTCCCATGCTCATGTTGTTTTGGTGGCTCAATATAAACCAATCCAAATGACCTCTACCCCAAGGAGTAGAGGGCCTGTTTCCATGAAGGTTTATACTTTGGTGGCTCAATATTCTGCTCAGTGAAGTGTATCAGGTCTCACTGCCATCCTTACAATTTACCTTTCAGCTTTGATGGGATTCTCTGATCATACAAGACTCCAGCACTAGTCACCAGTTCATCCATCCTACTCCTATCCTATGGATAATATACACATTTATATCTCCATCCTTCTACATATCCAAACAATCCAAAACCATTTATAGTACATAAATGCTTGCAGTAATTTCTGCCACCTATCAATATTGTTGAAGTTGCACTTTTGACTTTATGTACTTGGATTTATCTAAAGACCTTTAGACGCCAAGATTTCTCTCCAGAGCCTCCAGACCCCTCACTTTGCACAATCACCTTCTCTTGTCTCATCAATCAACCCGACATCAAAGAAAATCAAAGATGATGATGTGTCATCTTGTTTGTACTTCATGAGCACATCTATAAGTAAGCAAAAAAGACGATAACTCAACACTAACCCTCGGACTTTTCTTCCGTTTGGTAATACATAAAGCATTTTTCTTGCCGTTTCATGCTTTCATGCATGTCATTACACCATCATATGAATCATCTAATCAAGAAAATAACCTCTGTGTCTGTTGTTGATCTTGTTGGCATAAAACCTAATCAGTTTTCCTATCAACAAATTATAACTCATTTTGAATAATATAGTTATTTTGTGAGTTGGTACTTTGTTCTTTCATCTCCTGCTAGCTTTTATTCATGATTTAAATGGTTGATATTTACAATTAGCAGGTTTTGCTTGCCTATTTTTACACAGGGTTTTAATCGCCATTTTATACCTTTATTAATTAACATATATTCTGAGATAGCTAAATCTAAGACCCTTGATACTATCATACTATATGTATATGTGTGTGAGTGCATATATGAATGGTGGATCACTAGTTAGGTTCATAATATACAGCATCAGCTGGGAGTCAAATCTGTGTGAAATTTCTAAACCAAGACTAACAGATAAGTTAGGCACATTTGACCTTATGTCACACAGATGTTTTTCACATAACAATCATGACGATGATTGTTGCCATTTGCATCACTTTGTGATTGGAACGTTGAACCTTGAGGGCAGGCTTTTGACATATTGCCTACCACATTAATTTCATGTTACAACCTCCAAACGTTGTTGTTCAGTTCTCATTGCAATAATAGCACTTGAAATGAGCTGGTAATATAGTTGTACACAAAGTTATCAAATTCCTTTGCACTTCAGGAAACAAAACATGGACACGTGATATATATATATATATATATATATATATATATTGTCGCAAATCGAGGCCTAATGTGTCCATGACCAAATATCTCACTGCATCTTGACGCGATGTACTTTAGCTTCAAAATTCTTTATAGTAGCTTCACACTTATGGTTGTTCATAGACAAACTCAGACATAATATTGGCAAGTTGAACCTATTATATAACTTCAAATACAAGAAGATATATAGAACTGATTTTAAAGAAAATATATAGAACTGATTTTATCCAAGACAAGTAAAATAAGTAAAGCACACATGCCTGATTTTTGTCTCTTGTTGCATTGGTTTTTCCCCGCCTTATCTTCTGCAGATGTGGCACCAAGATGCTCGTATGTCAAACGAATGCGAAAATCACTAACACCACATTTAACACCCTGCAACATTGAATTGCATAAACAATAAGCTTTGCTAAATTTTCTTAGTAAAAGAATTATTGAATTTGATCTTTTAAGTGTTAGTCTACTAATATAGAAACAGACAAAACACTTATAAGTTTAGTTCTACTTTAATCTTCTCATTGCATATAAAAGTGAGAACAAAAGATGGGACTCGTATTCATACTCCCACCCAAAAGAAGAGGCACAGTTTGACTTTTGAGACCCTCAGCCTAGCTTTAATAGTCATAATCAAACGATACATGTATTAGGCAAGTGTTTAATTAATTCAGTAAGGTTAAGAAATATGGCAAATAGAAAGATGTTGGTGCTATATCTATAATAAAATCAGTACCAACACTGAGCTTCCAAATTCATAGGTTTGCACTAGAAAATAAAAATGTAGCTCATTTTCCCAGAGCAAAGAGAGAAAATGTTTCTCCAAAAAGCGTATTGAAGGGAAGTTAAATTACCAATAATAGTTCAAGGGAATGTGTTATAGATAGCTTGAGTGCATCCTTTACTGAAATATGTTCAGATGAGAATTTCTCTTGAAACCAAACTTCAGAAGCATACTTCTTTTTCATGTACGACCTGAATAAGAAAATAAGAGGGAGTTGATGGTGTTTCACCGATTAATCAATAGGCCAAAATCTTGCAAAAAATATACTCAGCAGACGAGGAAAGGAAGTGAAACTGATAATATTAATTTAAATGGAAACCAATTAAATTACTTGGCACGTAACACTTAAAAGAAGCAAATGTTGACAAGATCACTCAAAGTTGGCTGCCCCAGACTACCAAATTAGAAAAAAGGACAGTCTAACAAACATATGAATACTGAATACCCTTAAAACCACATTGTTTACAGACCTTGATTTCTTCTAGAATTAACTGAATAAGATGAATTTGCATAGATTTAGGAACTCATTTGACCAAAAGAACTTACACAATCACTTCTTCATTTTCATTGATAACTGTTGGCAACGAAACTTCAAGAGAATAGCTGGCAATTTCATGGCACTTCTCTTTCACACTTTCAGCAACTGTCCTGGCAAAATCCTCAGCATGATCCTTCTCTACCAACACATCTCTCTCATCACAATAACTAAATTGCAAGGCACCTAAGCAAACTGAACAAACACTTGACTTTTCTGACTCTTGAGATGAGTGCAAAATTTTCACATCTTCGGTTTCACCAGAACTCTTAGTCGCCATAGCTTCCACCTGTGTTCCTTTTCCGATAATGGAATATAGGGTTGTTGGGGAGACCAAAGCATAAATACCTTCCTGAACGTCAAATAGCCGAAAAATGCATCGGACACACACCTGCAACACATGAAAGTGGTCCACTCCATCACTAGCGTATGTAAAGTAGAAATGCTTAAAGGCAGTCAATAGACAACAGTATTGGGATGTTTGGATCTTCTAAAAATTATCCTAACTGACTATTTCGAACAAGCATGCCAACATGATGAAACAGTAGAAAGAAAACATCGATTGAGGAGACAAGGGAGTTTGACTATTCTCTATTAGCAAAAGCACATTTTCGTCAAAAGACAGTTTAATTCTCATATTTAACCTCCCTTCTTTAGGCACAGGAATATAAGAAGCTTTGCTTTTATCTTGTCATATCCTTGATTATGCAAAAAATTCTGATAAAAAATTGTATGGTTTAGGACAAAACGAAACACCTTTTTTAAGTACTTTAAAGTGTGGGGATTTCTAGTAAAGTTATCATACCTATGAAAAAAAAGAAATAAGATCAATAACAATTGACCATGTCATTGCTAGATATGCTGCAACCTAATTGGTACAGATTCCCAATAATAAATCCAGAAATCACTAGCAATACTCTAATTGAACCTAGAGAATTAAACAGAACTAAATTTCTCCTTATGTCAATGCATCTTTGGACTTGAATGTAGCCTTCACTCCTTTCAAATGTAGAGGGCCAATGTTCATCCAATATATCTTAACAACGACTATCATTACGTTTTAGTTGGTTAACCAACTAATTAAAATACCTAGACTTTGTGAACTGTTCCAACACTATAAGATAGGGAGAAGCTTTTCTCTACTTGGGTGCCACTTATAGTAAAAAATCATTATAACCTTGCAAACGAATTGCATGCTCATTAGTGCTCAAAACATGAAATAGCTTCCAACCTATTCGAATCAAACAGGCCATAAGCAATTAATTGGAGTATCAAGTGTGGTCTCACTAGAAACCAAACAGATTTCAGCATCGAAATTGACATTGATTATAGAACTTCCCGAAACAGATTCCAATCACAATCTTAAACTTTAAAAAGAAAAAGTTAATACAAACAAAATACTTCTGTAAAAATCCAGACAAATCTGAAGTGTAGTAATTAGTAAACGATTGAAGATAAAACGCACAAACCTCTTGAGTCATCAGGTCTTTTACAGCGTGAGCAGGCAGTTCCTTCACGGCCTCTCCGAGAAGCTTCATCTCGTCAGTTGCAGTATCGACGACGGCGGGATCACAATCATTAACAACCGGCGTGGTTACAGAATCATCAGCCATTTTCGTTTGGGGGGGTTTTATGATAATCGTCAAAGGTTTTAGAGTGTTAATGGAACTTGTTTGTATAATAGTTTCACATATGGTCCTCGTACTTTTTGTCAATATTCACTTTAATCCCCATACTTTATAGGGCTTTATCATAACTTCCCCTTAACTCCGTTAAGCTTTTGCCGATTGCGGAAAGTTCCCCAGTACTGTCTCTCGTAGGCGTCTCGGCGGTGTCTTTAGTCCCAATATAACTGATCATTCTCTGGACCAGGGTTTTAAAGTTAACCAATTAAGGCCAATTTTTTTACCGGCTTATACCAGTTACACACTTTGAGTTAAGGATCGGTTAAAGAACCAAAAGTGGTTATGCCGTAACCCATTGTTAGGTTATTAATAAATTAAGGAACCGGTTACAGAGGTGGACCCATAATTTTTTTCAAAAAAAACCCAATTGTAAGCTAAAAGAACAATATTTTGACACCAACAAGATTAAAACTATTCTATCTACTGAAAATAAGACTTAATCAAGCTCTATAAAACAAACCCAGTGCACCCATAATGTAGGTTCCTGATGAGGTTTTTTTTGAAGGTTTTATAAGAACCTCCATTGTGGGACAAATGTTTTGTTCAGTCATACATTTTTATTAGAAACCAGGTGTTTGAACAAAAATCTAGATTCTTGCATGCATTTATTTTTATTATTTCTCAACAATTTTATTTTATTTAATAAATCTATAAAACATATATAAGTTTAAAAATGATAAAAAAAAAAAAAAGTATAAATTAGTTATTATAATTTTTTTTTTTCGTTTCTTATAAATTTATATACAAGTTTTTTAATCGTCTCTTTATATTATTATATTTAGATTATTTTTCATATACATATACAAATATATAATATATAAATCATAAATTAATAATTGTAAAGATCTTTTATATTTTTTAAAAATATACAAAATTCTTATATTTATAGATGTCATCATACTAGAAATTTTCACACCTCTCATTCAAAGAAAATGGAAAAAGACATTGAAAATCAATCACAAATGCGGTGCTTGATTGGTTTGAACTTATTTTCAAAAGTCAAAAGTACTAGGAGATCTCATATTCAAATCCAATGAGGAATAAAAAATCCCCTTGTGGCCACGGAGGTTCAAATGCGATGACTTCGGGCTATCTACAAAGCAGGTTGTCGTCCTGGGATTAGTCGGCTCACACAGCGGGTTGGATATCCAGGTTAATAAAAAAAAGACATTGAGAATCAAGAAGATTCTCATATGAGAAATTATATATGATTTGTTTAGCATATATTAATTTTATATAACAATCTATAAATAAAATTATATTTATAAATTAAAAAAAAAAGGTTCTCGTAGAACCTTTGTTGTGAAATTTTATTGAGATTCTTACTTTGTTGAGGTGTCAATAATACGACATGAAAAAAATATGACAAGTGAGGTTTTTGGAGGTTTCACCCTGGTGGGAACTACTTATCGACCCACCACCAAATGTAACGACAACATATCAGGTCATACTTAACTTCATCATCATCCTTAATGATACTATATCACAATACATCATATATGTAATGGAGTCTAAAAAAGCTTTGGTGATTTCTTAAATTTCATACACGATTAACGGAAAGCTTATCGAACATTTCTCAAATTTCATACACAGCTAATGAAGAGCTTATTGACTAGAAAACAACTCAGAGAGATGACGATCGTATGCTATTGAGGTCCACGAATCCAGCAAGCACTACTCGGTTTCGTTCCTTAACCTTTGTCTGATATAAAACTCTGCAAATTTTGATTTCGTGTTAATTTTATCAAACCAAACAGACACAGTATATCGCACTTGAAAGCAATATCAAGATAATTTGGAGTAAATATATCCTACCCGAAAGTAGGGTCTAATTTTTTAGGGGAGGTTAAGATGTACGCAAATCTTACCAATTACCTCCGTTTCAAGAGACTGTTTCTGAGAAAAACCGAAAGTAGTTTTATGTATGCACAAATTTAAAGAACATAATACCTCAAGCCTTCGAGCCACATTTCAGTGATCAATGTTTCACCAGGGTAAACATGTAACAGAAATCGGCCAGAAATGGCTTTGACAAGGCTGGCATCTCCGTTGCAGATTGTTTTGATGATAGCCCTGACAGCGAACCCTAGAGTGCACAGCCCGTGAAGTATCGGGCGTGAAAACCTTCATAGGAATAAAATCGGGTATTTAAAAAATTTAGAGTACAATAGTAAGCCACAGATTTGCAAAAAGATGATTTTTTTAACACATAATTATGAAAGAAAACAAATAGGCTGCAGAAGATACCAAAGAAACTCCATATTCCTATCAAAAGATATCACAACGCTATCTAAAGATCCTCAACTCGCCCCCAAGCCATCCTCTACAAGTAGTCAACTACCCCAAACCATCCGCCACCTCCAAAAACTCCAATCTGAGATCATGCCCTCGGAAAGTATTGGGGCATGGAAATATCTGGGAGATCCCACATCGGTTGGAGAGGGAACAAATGTTGTCATAAGGGGCCTGGATACCTCCTCTATCAGACGCGTTATAAAACCGTGAGTATAGGGGTGGATAAAGGTGGACAATATCTGGTACAGTTGGCCGGGGATGTTACAATATCTTTCATTCAACTCTTGATCCCCTAATCAAGAAGTTATGATTAACATATAGATTTCTTATCAACTCCATTGCCTTGTTGGATTTTCACCCAATCCTTGGAATTAATCATTCATGTCAAGAAACCGGTTATCTTTATAGTTGTGCTTTTATGCCCTCAAGATTTCAACAGCACTTACTTCAAGCATGGTGAACACATGAAAAGCATATCTAAGAAAAGGTGAATTGCCTCCAAAAGACAAATAAAAATATAAATAAATAATAAAGATAAAAAAATATGCAAACATCTCAGCGGCGCAATGCACATACCCTGCCACTTCTGCAACCATAGGATCTGAATGTAAGGGGTTGTAATCACCAGAGAGCCTGTAAAGCAGTGCCTGCATCACACAAGAGCTCGGAATATAATGAAACTTATACATAAGCAAAGGAGTTTGAGCTCTATAATATCTTGACTGATAGAAATAAAACAACATTCACACGTGAATAGAGAAAAGGCTTTACACACCTGTGATGGCTGAGTACATTCCTCATGCACTACAAATGGTCGAGTCCTAGGAGGTTTTGAAGATGTCTGATCCCTCGGATACTTAGAGAAGGAATATGGTTCGGATGATTTTGAGAAGCCACCAGCACCCCTCAAATAAACCGTCGTCCTTTACCCAAAAACAAATAATAAATAACTTGTCGTTCTAAAGAGCAATGTTGTGTCAACAAGATTTATTCATACATTTCTACATTAATCATTTGGCTACTTACCGGTTCATGCACAGTGGTTCGCCGGTCTCTTTTTCATAACTCAAAACTTCAACCTCAAGAATTGTAGCTTTACCTATAAAAATGAACACAAAAGTAATTCTTACTGAAAAACTATGTGCATCTATGACCAAAATGTTAAAAGTTCATTCTTAACGTATGTAATTGTTAACTACTTTTGTAAAGAATATGTGGAGACTTTAGATCAAACCTTTATCATGCAATCCAACAATGCTCGACTTGTTTTGTATCTGCAATGGAAAAGAACAATAAACAAGTCAACGGCACATAAAGAAAACCTTTAGGGGTAGCCAAACTTGTAAGACCTTGGGTTTGCTCCATAGTGATAACCAGTCCGAGCCCCATCAGGGCCATTGGAGGTTTGCCCGACTGTCAGCTTCAGGTCCCCCATGGGATCAGTCGAGGTGCGGGCAAATTGCTTAAGAGCATCTCCAACAGATTCTCCAAAATTTATCCAAAATGGTGAACCAAAAGCCAAAATCTCAACAAATAAAAAATACATTCAAGTCCAACGGTTTCTCCATTTTGGAGATTACAACATTAATTATATTATTAAAATATTCAATACAATTAATAAAAAATATTATTTCTCTCCCCTAAACATTTAATTTCAAGGATTCTCATTGTTAGGAAGAATAAAAAATAATTTTTGGAGAGTTCTCCAAATTTGGAGAATTTCACATCCTCTTTCCCATTTTCCCATTTTGGAAAAGGTTTTGTAGAATTTGTTGGAGCAACAACTAGCCAAAATCCCTAAAATCTCCATTTTGGAGAATCTGTTGGAGATCCTCTAACTATTAGTAGTGTGTCCATTCCTATCTGAAGGTAAGTCCTAGTAAGAAATCAGTAGTCTTATTTGAAATTACGCAGGTGATCATCATAGGACAAAAAAAGATTAACGCTATCCTTTTGGATGTCAAAAGGGAGACGAACAATAAGTCTATTCATAGGGACAAGGAAACAACCACTCTATTCTCTAAATACACATAAAGTTTCAATAATAAGCCCAAAACTTAACACAAACCTATATTGATTGATTCTAAAAGATTTAAGATTTTAGTTAAGGGTCACATTTGAAAAACAGTGGAAATAAACAATTACACGAAACAGCAAAACTTCATAAAGAATTTGCGGACAAGATTCTCACCGAACAATTTGAAGGTAAAGGCTTGTAGATCTCAATATATTGTTGTCCATGTAAAAGAAGGCGAGGATCAAACCTGAAGCATGTAGAAACAAGATTTGAACTATTACTAAGCTAAAAGTTTAAATAGTCGAGAGTCCAAGGTTGTGAAATAGGTGGCATTTTAGCAACATCATACAGTAACTTACATGAATCCTGGCAAATGCTTTAGTTGTGAAGTAAGTCCAATGGAAAATAAAGCAGCAAAAGTTGGAAATACCTACAAAGGATGAAATGGCAGAAGAAGTTCAACAATGTCATCAGCATAAGTTTTAGGCATAAACTAGATTTTTTAGAACATGTTGGTTATTTTCATAAACCATTTTCTTTAAGATGTTTTCTCGTACATGCTTTATTTGTAAGTTTTGTTTATGCTGTTTGTGTTGTTGGTTACTTCTAACTCGTTTTTTTTCAAAATTTAGCCTATCTGCCTTTGTTGTTCTCAGTTTTTCTTTTTCGAACGTGCTTATTCTCTATTTCCCCAATTTTTAGCAAGGTTTCTCTCTTTTATTCGTGCACTTTGCACAAGCCAGAGTCTTCAAAGAAATTGCCACTTTGCTCTCTGGGGTAGAGGTTAGATCTAGAGATGCACAAAGCCCGGCTTTGGGATTAAAAAAGAGCCCGATTGGGCTTTCTTAGGCCAGGCATTAAGGCTGAATCGGGCCTAGGGCCGGGCTTTTTAGGGCTGGGGCCAGTCTAGGCTTCAGGATTGGGCTTTTTGTGCATCTCTAGTCAGGTCTGCATACATCCCCCTCCCAAGATCCCACTTCCGGATGGAATATACTGGGGTCATTTGGTTTGGTTTAGAACCCAGACTAAATTTTTCAACCTAGAAAAATAAAGTTAGTTTTTCTGGGCTCGATTGGTTTGGTTTATCAGTCGAGACCTGGCTGTAAGAACAGGTTTGGAGAGGGAAGAATTCATAAATATTGCTGTGGAAGATTTAAAAAATAAATTATATCCAGTTTGTAACACCTGAATGGATTGCTGCCCGTCTTCATGGTACACATATTTGAGATCCTTATCATCTAATGCGTCTTTAGCACATGCTCCAATTCCGAGAGCATATAGTGCAGCATCTCTACTTTAAGTCAAGGGAAGAAATTAATGGGTGAAAAAGTAGTAATAAATCGAGCTTACTAGAAACCATCAAAAGGCACAAATAATACAAATGTAGTCTAAATCTGCAAACCTTTCGCTATAGGTGTAAGTAGTCTGCAACAAAATAGAACAAAATCAAATTAAATCAATTGTGGTAGAATTATGTATTAAGGTTCAATCTTCCAATCACATCTTTCAAATTATAATTTCTTAAAGTAAAGAGCCCTACACAATATAGCATACATAATTATGATAATTAAACATATGATCAATGTGATAAGGAAAATGATTGATCCAAACAATGATAAAGCTATGTTTGGTAACCTAGCTAATAAGCCCGTCGTTGGATGATAAGCTAGTCTTGTTTAGTAAACACTAGATGATAAGCTAAATAACAATGTAAAATGACCTCAAAGGACATGTTGAAAAAGTAATTAGAAAAAAGAGAGGCATAATTGAAAAGGAAAAAAAAGCCCTTAGAGCTTGTAGAAACGCTACTTCTATAGCTATCTAAACAGGGTTTTTTGCAGTAAGCTCAAAAAATAAGCTAGCTTATGGTTGCCAAACATGGCCTAAAGAATAGAAATCTCCAAACACTCGAATATAAGGGCGTGACAGAAAATTCACTTCTTTGTAATTAATCTTTGTTAGTTAGGAGTTGTTAGGTGATAGTCAGAATTAGTATAAATAGCATTGTAACTCTTCTCAATACAATCACAATTTCATTTTTCGTGATACCAAGATTTGCATTTAACATGGCATAATTTATTGTAAGTCCCTTTTACATCATCTCTTATGCAATTATGCATGCAATTAAATGAGAGGGAAGGAACCAGGAGAGTTCTAAAAGCTAACTGAAAATAATTTCAACAATATAAAGAAACTTAGAAAGAAAACTTTGGTGCACCAAGGCTCCGTGATTTTACTAGAAGGGAGTCTTTGTCCGCAATATATTCCTGCCTTTTTTTTTCAAAGAGACTGATTTCTTAACTCAAACCCATGACCCTCCAGTTGCAACCATTAAATTTAACGTTTGCAAGGCGTAAGAATAGTAAGGAACGTATAAAATGAACCCATTTTTTCATTTGTGCTTCATAGTGCACCAGAAGTGAGTGCTTTATCATGTATGTAATATAGATTACATGAGTAAAGTAACAACCAACAAACATACTTCCACAAGACTACTGGCTATAAGGCTAGAAACACGAAAATTACACATATATGGGCCGAGAGATAGTCTACCAGAGTCCTAAGATAGACTAGGGGAGGACGGGAGGTGTCATTGTCTTACCTTTGCTATGTTCCTTTGTACCAACTTTTTTCGGATAACTGTGGGTATCTGGACCAGCTTACACGCATCGACTAATCCCCCGACCATGAATGGCCTGGAGTCATAGAAAGTGAACCTCCATGGCAACAAGGGCTTTGTCCCTACTTTTGATTATATGGTGCTACTTAATCTTCTTTCCTTTTTCTAATTCGTCTCCTTTCATAATGTTCAGACTTTCTATTTGTCCCTACTTTCTATTTGCACACACTTCAAGCGAAGTCACTCTGCTCTCCGGAGTAGAGGACAGATTTGCGTACATCCCCAAGACCCCGCCTCTGAGTGGAACATACCGGGCTTGTTTGGTTTAGTTTTAACCAAAACAGATACATCCTACCCTCCATGTGGGATTCACTTGACTCGTTAGGTTTGATTTGGTTTTAACAAATAGCCACTCATCTACAGGGCTTCCTTCAGGAGTTTAGGTTACTTATTTTCTAAAATCAATTCAGAAAATCAACCACATGTATATACATCAAAACATGACTGATGTGTACATTCGAAATTGAAGAATAAGTGAATAAACAATTTATTTTCAAGTTCAAACTGAAGCTTCTTCAAGAACAACTGCAAAAATTAATCCATTTAATCTTCCAAAGTCGAAGTGAAGCCTTTTCTCTAGAACCCAGTTTATAGTCTCAAGGTAGAAATGCATCTCTACTACTAGAACCAACGAAATTCAAAACCACAACTGATTTCAATAGCCAAAAATCATAGTAATTTGAAAATAATAGAACTTAGATAGTGAATTTGTGGCTTTGCGGGATACCTCTGGGAATTTGTGATTGATTATAAGCTCTGGATTCATCGCGGCATCGTCACCCATAGTTGCTCTTCCTGGTGATCTCAAAAACACTGTAATTAAGAACACGAAATCATGAAACCAAAACAAATCAAAAACTAATCAAAACCTAATACTCAAGAATCTTAATTTGATGTTCTTCCCACCTATCTGCTAGTCGTAGTCTCGATTGAATCGATATGATACTTGCGAAGATCAATGAACAGGATAAAGCGATCATCCCCTTTTTCGTTGCTGAATGCTGACTTCAACGTTACCCCCTCCAGAAAATAAAAATACGACTAAACTATTTGGTCCCTGTGATTTGTAAAAAGAACACTTTTAGTCCCTATAGTTTTGAAATTACAAGATGACCATTGTGGTTTGCAAAAACATCCTGATTTAATCCCTTTCATTAACGGCCATTAAAAGATTATGCTAAATGAAGGTTATTTTCGTTCTTTTATCGATTTTCGTCGCTTTTATTCAATTAAAACCCACATTGACCAATATCAAAAATATGATTTTGATTGGGTAAAACCATAGAAGACAAAAAAAATCAATAAAATAACAAAAATTTGGCTCATTTAACTAACTTTTTAACTGATTGTGGGATAGTTAGAAACCAGAATGGCAATATGGTAATTATCCCCCTAGTATCCAACTATCCACCCTTGATTTGGATGGGTTTTGAAGCATTTTTGGTGGTGTAAATTGTAGTTTTGAAAAAACATGGAGAAGAAATGTAATTAGGTCATACTAAGAGGGTGTGAGTGATAACTTTTTATACTTGGCGTATATCACATGTTAAGTGGGTAGTTAAGGTGTTTGAATCAGTCCGTTTACTAAACACTTGTTGGGTAAGTACTTATCAGATAAATTTCCTCATTTGATAAACATGAGATGCAGGGCTGGCCTTGAGATTTTGGATGCCCACGGCGGAAAGTAAAAAAAATGCCCCTTATACGTGTAAATAAAAACCAAAATAAACTATTTGAAGGGTTTTGGAACCTAGTCAATCTAACAAAAAAGTGCCCCTTAAATATAACAAAAATGATGCAACGGGGGGACATAAACCAAAATCCGGTGTAACAAAAGATAAAGTGCATCACGGGGGGACATAAACCAAAACCCCGTGTAACAAAAGATAAAGTATATCACCATTCACCTAAAACGATGTCTTCTTGCGTTTTTTGAAGCAAAAATATATATCACTTCGTCATAACTAATATTAGCTAAAAACTTACTCTCAATACTCAAGATTGCTAGTCCGTTCAATATTTCTTGACTCATGGTAGACCGTAAATACGACTTCAACAACTTTAACTTTGAAAAGCTTCTTTCCGCAGATGCTACGGTCACCGGTACGGTCAATAGTATCATGTAAGTGAAATGTGGAATGGACTCTTAATAAAGGCTAACAGTAATAATTTTTTGGCCCAAATACAAACTGAACCTAGTATATACATTGGGCTTAAAAAAATTTGATGCCTTTCAGATTTTTGATGCCCTGGGCCGTCGCCCCTTTGGCCAAGGCCTAGGGCCGGCCCTGATGAGATGGGTCAAGAATCTTATCGAGTAAGAGCGATGAGAATAATGGAGAGTCGTACCCGGTAAGTGGGGATGACGACTATTACCCAGGTAAGCGCTTACCCACTAAATTGTTGCATTCAATATGTTTTGATATACTAAAATCTTACACATCAAAATAAATTATAGTGTTGACTCCTATCGTTAAGTGCTTATCGGGTAAACGACCCCTTAGTCTATGTGATTTACCCAAAGTCATGTTGTCCTTCCCTAAATTGAAATAATCATGAAAAACGTTCATGTGGCTTATATTTTCACAAGTCCTCAGCAGGGACGGACCCAAAAATGTTTTCAAACGGTGGCACCATTTAACTATAAGAAAAAAATATACGGAAAAAATTTCAAACGGTGGCATTGTTTGACTATAAGAAACAAGTATACAGGTTTTTTTTTTCAAACGGTGGCACCATTTGACTAAGAAAATGACACTAACATGATTCGAACTTGGGTCTGAGATGGAATAAAAGTCTTGCAAACCAACTATACCAAATAAAACGTGTTCTCATTGTAGTTTCAAAATACATATGGTGGCACACAACAAATTAATACGGTTGCACCTTTCACGAACCTAAATTTTTTTACCCTTTAATGAATAAATAATACGATGGCATGTGCCACCATATGCACTACTATAGATCCATCCCTGGTCCTCAGTCCCTCATTTCCACATTTTATAACGCCCCGGGTCCCTGTCACTTAAAACCATTAAATAATTTCTATTAACTCAAGGATAGTTTGGTCTTTTACATTTTTTTGGTCTTTTTTTCCTTAAAAAAAACGAGATTGTCATATTATACATGCATATGCATCTGGATAAGAACCAAGCTCGAGACAAAGGACCATGGTTAGGATCAAGTTTGAGTGCCGTTAGATAGGGTTGGGCTCCGATGAAAACGAGAGTTAACGTGAGAAGTTTAATAAGAGATCTCCACTATTAGATGCACTTTAGGATAAGATGTACTGAGATTCACCAGTTCAATCCCCCCCGCGATTCATGAATGAGTTTGAGATTAAAGGTGATCAAAGGTCCAGATCATTTCTTACACTTCTCACTTTAACGTTCCTTCTCACATGATCCCTCGCACCGATCGCATCCAACCTAATTATAATCGATATATCAGACTCTATATTGATTAGCAACCTAATCTAAGAGCCTCTTTGGTTTGCAGGAATTGTTGGGATTTGGAATCAGATTTCATTCTGATCATGCATTTAGTTTAAAGGAAAGTCCAGAATTGAAATTCCATAAATATTATTTGTTTATAATAATGTTATAATATATATTAAAAACATTTCTTTTATAATAATCAATTAATAAAAGATAATTTAATTGGAAAATTGCACTAAAATAGATCCAACTTTCACCTTATTCCTATTTTGGGGAACCAACTTTCAAAATCGTCATTTTGGGAACCAACTTGCACTTGATTCTTATTTTGGTGAACCAACTTACAAAATAATTATAGAAAAAAAACTAAAATTCATTTTTTTCCAAAAATTAATGCAATAAAATCTTTTTTTTTCATTTTAAATCTCGTTTTTTTAAATTCAGATATCAAATTGAAGATTTTTAAAAAAATTCAAATTACCACAATAAAAATTGTTTTTTACTAATGCAAAAAAAAATCAATTTAATAGAAAAAATTAATTGATGCAATAAAAAATAAATATTAAATATCACATTCAAGATTTTTATATCTAACCAATCTGTATCAATATTAAAGTTTAAATCAAATCTGGCATATCAAATCGAAAGTTTGATAGAGACCCTTAAATTACATGTTACATGTTCAACAGATCAACCAGACCCTTAAATAAACAAAAAGTTTGATAGAGACCCCTAAATGACGATTTTGAAAGTTGGTTCCCCAAAATAGAAATCAGGTGAAAGTTGGTTCCATTTTGGTACAATTTTCCCTTTTATAAATCATCTAAAAAAATATGGAATTAAATTTCATTATAAATCCTACAAACCAAATACACCAAAGATTTCATATTCTTTCACGAAATCTAAATCTCTCAAAAACATTTTGTCAATTCAAACGCCCCTTAAGTGTATCTTCGATTGATTCTCCAAAATGAAGAAAATTGAGATTTTAGGGACTTTGGTTAATTCTTTGCTCCAACAAAATTGTCTAAAATAGAGAAAATACGGGAAAGATGGAGTACAATTTTTCAAAACTGGAGGTTTCACTTAGGCATGGTAACGGGGCGGGGATGGGGCGAGTTTTCTAATCCCCGGCCCTGGCCTCGGCCGGTTTCTATGAACGACCCCGGCAGGTACGGGGATTAATATCCCGTCCCCGGTTTATTTTGTGGTCAAACCTCGATTCTCGTTCCTGGTCAAGACCTAATTTTAGAAAATAAATAATATATATATATATATATACATATACATATTATATAGAATATATTAATAAAATTATATACCGGATGCAGGGCGGGGCGGGGGATACGTGACCCGGCCCCAACCCCGGTTTGAGTCTATCGAGGATCCCCCGCCCCGGTCTTGGGACCCGTTTTAGCTGGGAATCCTCTTCCCCGTTCGAGACGAGTGAGCCGGGTTCCCCACCGGGTCGGAACAAATCACATTCACACAATATGATAATAATTTCACAATTTCTCACGTTTCTCGTGAATATAAAAATTTCTCGCCTGATCCCAAGTTTATAACTTAAAGTCTCATTAATTACTTATCAGATAAGCTTGAGGGTCCTAAGAACCCCATTTTGTTGTAAATTAGAGATCTATTTTGTAATTACGAAGTACTAGTGTCCAATACCATACATTACACTAATATCGCATATAAAATCACATGTGATTCATGCGACTTTACCCTGCAACATATGATTTTGTATGCGAAAACACACAAAACATTTCAAAATTCGAGAATATACTTACATTTTATATTCAATACCACATCGATGCATCGACTTCTTCCTTTTATATATTGATATATAAATAACCAAAACAATATATTTCACTCACATCAGTATTTCTTCATCTTCCTTTAACGTCCTTTTAAGTAAATACTAGAAGAGTACTCACGCAATGCAGCGAGACACATCTCGATTTTAATGTTATATTTTATTATTTGTCTCTGTCGATGTTATAATACGATTTTATGTGTTTTTAATAAAATAATAATGATTTTGTTTTTTGAATAAAATAAAAA